AAATTTCTTCTCTTTTTGCCTTTTGCTTGTGTTCTTTGTTGCGTTGACCCCTCTTCAGTAGGCCGGATTTAGGAAGGAGGGGACTGCGTCCTCTTTCAAAGAGGTTTTCATACATATTTTCTCACAAAAATGATCCCGGCACTTAACATAAGCAAAATTGCTGACTCCAGCGGTAAGTCTGGAGACCATATTACAGGGAATGGAAATGCGGTGGACATTGCGCGACTGCAGGCGGAGATACAGTCGTCCACGCCCTTGCGTAATCGCAATGCTGCGAGGATCGTGCCTCGTGCCGCCCGGGACTCCTCTCCCGGCTGGGCCCCACGCACGGGCATCTCCTCCACCCTAGAAGATGGTGGCAATAGTGCTGAACTACGCCGCCGCGCTGAAGAGGTGAGTTCTGTGTTGGGCATAAATGCCCTTCAGGTTCAAGACGTCCACGTGCTGCAGTGTAAGGCCATCGAGGTTGCGGAGCGTCTGCTTCGCATGGAAGAGTGGTACAATGGGCAGTTGCAGGAACGCAGCGCATACCTGGAGCATCGCATGTCGCAGTTGGCTGCAGCAGCAGCAGGCGGTCAGTCTGCGCTGTCGGCGGCGGATAAGTGGGTAGCACCAACAACGATACGTAGTCGACAGGGCCCAAACACCACAGCAACGGTGCTGGGTCGTTCCACAATGAATGTGGCCAGCAGATCACCCACCCGCCATGGTGCCTCCACCCCTGTTGCTCCTTCTGCTTCTGCTTCCCAGGCCGGCTACCCGAGCACGCGGACCCCTGACAGTTCCCGTCTCCGTCTCTCGCAGCACCACCACAGTCACCAGCGACAGGCCGTGCCACTGACAAGCAACTGTTTGCATCCACCTGCTCATGAATCATCATTTTCCACAGGGGTATCAGGCGTATTACGACACACACCCACTAGCAAGCGCCAAAGCAAGGACACTGCGATCAGTGGATGTAGTGCAGGGTCATTCAAAGCAACAGGGGGAGAACGGCATAAGCTGCGTAGCTCAAGTCTGACCATCAGTCGTGGGTCGAGGGGGAGCAGCGACGCGGGAGCGGAGGAGCTTCTTGTTGAAGATGCAACAAAACGGACAAAGAAACGACGTAGCCTTGGGTCATCCACGATACTTGGGATGGCGATGGGGAGCACCACCCCGAAGCGCATACGCCCTTCCTCCGGTAGATTGGGATACTTGTCCGAGACAACAAAAAGAGTGTAGCGACTGTTCTTGTTTTCGTTGCACAACCGCTTTTATTCATCAAGAAACCAGCTGGAAGGCACGGCTGATTGTGCAAAATAGATTTCAACAGCGACGAAAGCTTGTGATTCTATTTTTTTTTTATTGTGTTCTCTTGCTCCCAGGTAGTGTTGCTCCTACACTACACATTTGTCTTAGTGCATCTATTTGACCATATTTACTGAGTACTGGCGTTTTTTTTTGTTCGCAGGTGGTCTGAGACTCGACATTGTCTTTTCCTCACCGTCACTATGCATATACATGAGCAGTACTGCATGTGTGTGCGATTAGTCCATTCTGCGGTCGCACACTCATGCCATGGGGTTTCCACACCTCTTTTGCCTTTGCTTTTTGTCGTGCCTTTTTTTTTTTCTTCTTCCTCCCCCCCCCNCCCCCCCCCCTCTCTCTCTCTCTTGTGCATGTGCAGTTATTCCAGAGGGATAGAAGAGAGCGAGGGAGTGTGCGTGTGTGTGTGTGTGCGTGTGTGCCTGCCTCTGAGTGTGTGTGTGTGTGTGTGGAAAGATAAAATAGGTTGGAGGTGAAGGATGAACCGGCGCAGCAAGACATCGAGCCCAACACCCGGTTCACCGCGACCTGCGGTGAAGAATATCCTCAAAAGTGTCGAGAGCCATGTTCGCCTGATGTCCCACCTCGAAAACACGTCCACTTCCTCCAGCTACACTGCCCTGCGCCTCAAGAACGCGCAGACGGAGAAGTGGTCAGACCCGTTCAACGTCACGCGTGTTCATCGCGCTACCCCGACAGACACCTTCTACCAGGATGTCATCGCCCCATGCGTGGCAAACTGCATGGCGGGACAAAGTTATCTCTTCTTAGTGAGCGGCCCATGCGAGAGCGGCCGCAGTCAGACGCTCTACGGCAGCCCACACCACAGCGAGAAGGGCATCATTGAGTTCGCTGCGGAGGAGCTGTTGCGCTACGCCGCAATGCCGCTGAGCGGTGGTGATGGTGATGCCAACAGCAGGAACCGCGCGACGGTAACGCACTCGGCATTTGTCACGCGTGGGGCGCAGATCATCGAGACAGTAAGCGGTGAGTCAGTGCNGAGAAGGGCATCATTGAGTTCGCTGCGGAGGAGCTGTTGCGCTACGCCGCAATGCCGCTGAGCGGTGGTGATGGTGATGCCAACAGCAGCAACAGCAGGAACCGCGCGACGGTAACGCACTCGGCATTTGTCACGCGTGGGGCGCAGATCATCGAGACAGTAAGCGGTGAGTCAGTGCCAGTGGTGGAGTTCCCGCCACCGCTGGGTCCAACCGCACTGCCGCTTATGCGGCTGCTCGACTCCTCCTCCGGCGCTGTGCAACTACCCGCAAAGAAGCATGCGGATACGTCGTGCATCGTGCAGTTTCATGTCTACGCGCCGGTGGACGCATCGGGGCGACGCTCTATGGCTACGCTTACCTTTGTAGACGTCGCCGCATTTCGTCCACCGCACTGCGGTGAAGTTCGCCATCTTGTTGAGACTGTGCGCCGTGTGGCGGGTCTTTCGAGTGGCGGCGATCCCTGTTTCCAGCAGACAAAGCTCACAACACTGCTTGAGCCCGCTCTCATGGGGTATGTGACTCTTATGTCTATTACCACTATCAGCGGGCGGCCGGACTTGCATGAGGCCGCGTGTGATGCATTGCGCTTCGCCGAGACTCTTAGCCGCATCCACCAGGTGCTGATGCTTGTGCACATCAACACCCCCAAGTGGTTGATGGACACTGCAGAGAAGCTGGAAGATCTGCGGATGCAGCGGGAGCGAATTCTTTCGGAGCAACACGCACGTGGTGTGTACGACTTCTACCGCACAGCAAACAAGTGGCTGGTGGAGCATGTCAGTGACGTTGACGGCACATTCAACAAACTCCTCGAAGAGACGGAGAGCATCCGGCAGGAAATGGCGCACGAGGTGGAGGGGCAGACGAAAAGCCTCCAGGCAAGCATAGAGGAAGAGCAGAAGCAGTGTGCGGCGCAGTTAGAGCGTACACGCGCCGCACACGCCGTGACGACGTCGCAGTTAGAGGCTGTGAAGCGACTAGATGAAAACATTGCCGCACTCGATCAGCAGCTTGCACAAGGGGACTTCTACAGTGACCACAGAATAAGCGAGATGCGCATTGAAATATCCACCCTCGAGAGCGAGACTAGCATGCGCCGACAGGAGCTCACACAGCTGGAGAAGGAGGAGAGACTGTACGGCAGTAAGTACGCCGAGGTGGTGGATGTGCTCGACAAGTACGCAGAGGACCTCGCCGACGCGCAGGTGCACCTTGCACACGCCGCCGAGATGCATGCCATCACGCGAAGGAAGAGACAACTCGAGGCGGACCTCGCGCTCGCCTCGCGTGCGGCGCGCAAGACCACTGACACCCTCCGCGTTGACCGCGAGCGCCGCTCAAAGTTGTCGCGGCTGACAATGATACAGCAGAAAGTGGACGCGCTGCGAGAGCGCGTGAACCCTAACAGCAACAACAACAGCTGCAGTAGACAGAATGCAGGATGTAGCCAGTTGGAGTGCTCTGAGGGGTCCGTGCCGGCTTCATCGGCGCGCGTGCGACCGCGGTACGTCAGCCCACGTTACTCAGCGATGTAAGTGTTGTGGCGCAGTTGTGTGGCTGCGTGTGGGATGCTC